AGCCACAAACGTCACTTGCTGAGGCCCACGTCTCTGAGCTCTTCAATCTCATCCTCTTGCTCCTCCAGACCGTCTAGAGGTTCGGCCATCTCCACCAATTCCCAACTGCCTTGCTTCTCAACCAAGGTCGATCTGCACATTCCTTCTCCCTGATCTCTGAAGCCGGGGATGAACTGAGGGTCTGGAATCGCGTGCTCAGGCGCAAGCCAACCCAAAACTCATCCTTCTTCTTCCAACCATAGCCGCTTAGCCAGGTTCATCAACTCTTCACCTAGCCTGACTGCCAGCGTGCGGACCACCACATGTCGCCGAATGTCACCTTCTCCTTCAAGACCACAGATTGACCCTCGGACGTCATCATCATGATATCCACGTCCTTGTGGCCATAACTCTTGATCTTCTTACCAGAGCCGCTCCCAACACCTGATCACCTCTTGTGTTCCCCATGAGTCGTCCAGGGAAGATCTCCTGAGTCCACAATCACCTTGAGTGTTTGCAACTCTTCTCCAACTCCATCGGCCTCATCGACCTCTTCCTCATTCTCGGTCTCAGCAATGGTGTTGACCATGTAGCTGTCATACTCGTCCTCATCATCTGAGGCAATGTTGAAAAATTCAACCTGACGCACCATTCGAATTGAACCAGCTTCACTCCCTTCTCTCAAGTCGACGATCACTGGCTGTGAAACATGCCGGATGTTCTTGGCGCCTGCATTGGAATCACCACCTCCTCCACTCGTCGCGCTCGTTGTCTACGTGGTAGAAGGCGATGTAGTGTGAGAACCTGCAATGCTCTGGGTTGCTGGTGCTTCGATCTGCCTGACTCTCCAACAATCCCTTCACAGGTGTCCGGGTTTGCTGCAGGTCCAACACACTTCATTTGAACCCTTGCCTTTGCCACCCTTGTTCTCCTTGCCACCTCCTTTGCCCTTGCCATCTTTGCCACTCTGCTTGCCACCCTTTCCTTTTCCCTTCTGTCTGTCTTCTTTGCCCTTTGACTTTCCCTTGACATCTTTTGTCTTCCCTTTGCCTTCCTTTCCATCTCCCTTGATGCGGTCAATCTCCATGGGCATGGGACCATTGGGATCTGCTGAACTCGTCATTGGGCTCATTCCGGAGAAAGTCAGGGCTCCAGACTCATTCCACTTTGTGGTGGCTGTGTCAAAGGCAATGATGGCTTCTCGGATCTTGTTGTATGAGCTTCCCTCATTCCAAGTCAGATTCAAATGAGTCTTCATCTGACCTGAAACTGCCCTGAGGAGCACCGCCGACTTCATGTCTGGTGATAACTTCCCTCCAAGGCGCTCATACTGCACGTAGTGCTCTTCCAGCTTGAGGGTCTGACGGATCTGAGGCAGCAGGGAGCTCTTCATGTTGAAGCTTGGGTATGACATTATACCCTGCAAGAGGTTCATCGTCCTGTTCCTGGGTTGGCAGTTTATCAACAGCTGTCGAAGAGCTTCCATGCCATTGAACTTCTCCACGTTCTTGATGACCCCTGTCAACCGTCCCTGTACAAGGCTTCCCAACAAGCTGTACAAAAATCGACTTCTCTGTTGTTCACCTTCGTCCAACAGTTCTCAGTCTACTTCTGTTGTCAAATTGGACTCCAACTTCTCGAGTTCATCTTGGAACGCCGAATCGACAACAACCAGGTATTTTTTGACCGTCCAGTACCAATCTCGCTCCTGTAAAATTTCTTGCTCCCTATCTGTAGGCTTGAAGGTACCAGGTCTTGGGATCAACTTTGCCAGATCACGTTTCAGAACCCCTTGGCTTCCCCCTGCTCCTTCAGCACGCCCCAGCTCCTCCTCCACTGGAAGCCGCCGCCTGAGCTGCTTGAGCTGCAGCATTTGCTGCTGCTATGACCGCCTGGGCCAGCACCGGCATGTCAGGCTGGTCCATCTCGCTCTTCAGCTAGGTCTCAACCTCTTCAGACAGGATCAGGTAGCCCATCTTCTTCTCACCTCCACCACAGCGCCAGGCCGCCCAAGGATCAGCTTCAGGTAGACTCAGGCGCCGATTGCGAGCAACAGTGCCACACTAGTTGTATGGGTTGCTAGGCGAGGGCGCTCTTACTCACGGGTTCAAAAGTTGACCTGGAGCTCCAGCTGACGATTGTCAGCCTTCTCAGCTCCGCTACCATGCGAGCTGTTTTCAACCACAAAAGGCCTCAAGTTCAGGTGATCTGTAGATGAGATGGATGGAGAGGATTCTATATGATTCTATTGCACAATAATCCATCAACTTCCAGTTTGCACTTTCTCCTCAGAGAACAGAAATCATCGCCAATTCCCTCCATCTTGCTCACACTGGTGTCAAATTTGCCTTGAATCGTTGGAAGAAAGATTTCATTAATGTACTTTGGGTCTCCTGTGAAAGTCAAGTCACCCACATGGATCAAAATGATACTCTTCTCATTTCTTCCTAGGCATGGACACTCAGCACTGAACTTGAAGCTGGGTTCCTCTGTGAGGTCCTCTGTGAGGTCCTCTGTGAAAAAGTCAAACCACGCTTTTGCTCCAACTCTCTGTCCAGGTAGATTTCTCTTCGTCAAGAACTCTTCTCCTCCCAGAATTACTTTCAATGGCTTCTCCTGTGGAACTTGAAAAATGCATCTTTCACATAGCGTCTGTGAAAATGCTCCTTCTCCCTCTCTTGCCTCTTCCTCTTCACTGATTTTTTGCAAGAATATTGTGGGTAGAAGCTTCAGAACATGCCCTGAAGTGCTGGTGGGAAAATGTTCTCTCTCTTCCCTTCACCAAAATTCTCTTGCAACTAGTCTTGAAACTCTCTTCCTGAAGTACCACCCCCAAGCTGATATGGTTTCTTCCCTCCAGCCATAGACGTTTCTTGTTGTCAAGCAACTGGTTCCTTTTGCGCTACCTTCTGGTTCCTCTAGTACCTGCGTCTTTTGGAGTCTTTTCTCTTCCACCTCATCAGCTACTCCGTCAATCCATTCTTCTGGATCTTCTTCAGGTTCATAATCTCCATCGCAGATCTTCCCCTCCAACTTTCGCCATGTTGATCTTGGCCTTCTTGCCTGAATCATCTGCTGGCCATAGCTTCTTCATTGGACTTTCCTCCTCAAGCAATTCAACTGCCTCTCTTGGTCTTGATGCCGCTGACGGTGGTCTCAGTATAGGAGTAATTGGATTAGGCTGCCCTGCTGGCAATCACCTTCTCAAAGGTTTTCTCATCTGTGGGGAGAACTTTCTGCTTCTTACTTGGTGTCTCTTCTCCACTTGGCTTCCTTTCACTTCCATCTCTCTTCATTGCATCAACGGTGATGTCCAGCAGGGCTGGAATCTCCATTGGCTCTGGAAAAAGTTGTCATTCTTTTGTTGAATCACGTTCTCCTTCCAGTGCCTCGGTCATAACTGCTTCTGCGTCTTCATCCTTGAACTTCAGCACCACATGTTCTCGAGCAATGTCCCTCGACAATGCTTCTGCTCTCCTCTTGGTGGCAATGATCCTGCCCGCGAAGTGGTTTGATACCCCCATGAAAGTCATTGAAGCTTTTGTATATGGGGTAAGTATTTGGGCCAATCTTCATCTGTTCTTCTGATACACTTGCTGAAGCACATAGGCACCTTGTCTTTCAACTTTCCAAGGTCAAGCATAAATGCCATCTCGCCGAGGCTTTTGGGTAACCATGATCTGGTTCACCATATTCCTCTTGCCATAGACAAGCTCATAGGGAGTTGCACCTTTGGCTGGCTGAAATCTGTTAAGCACCCAACTGGCATGTCTTGCTGCCCAAGTCCAAAGCGCATGATCTGATCCAATCTTGATACCAAGTCTTGACGGCACATTTTCTGACAGAAATGAATGTCCCCAAGCTTTGAGTTTACCAATCTGGTAGTGAGTCCTAGACTGTGGCGAGCATTGATCAGCATCTTGAGGATCTGTCTTATTACGGGTTCATAGTCACTCTTGTAGGCGATTGCTGAATACCCCAACAATTGACTGCATTTCATCAACTCTTGCACAGTTAAGGGAAACTGTCCTTTGCTTCCTGATGGCACAACATGAATGAATCCAGTTTGGCTGTCAATTGCAACTAGCCAACATACTGCTCTTGCTGACTTTGTTTCTGAGCCCCTTGGTCTTGTGTAGCAACAGTCAAAGCTTACCTCAGGAATACTTCCCCTCTTTACTCCATCTGTTCTCTCCTGGCGGTCTGGACGCGCTCGATGCTCAATGCACTCCTTACACCAATTGGCATATGGCATGTGCGTCAACCTGTGCCGTGCTTGAGTTGCTTCATCAAGCATCATTGCCACACTTTGTCCTCACGCATCCCTTGTTTCCTGAGCTTTTGCTTCACTCACCAAGCTTTTGGCATTCAACAACTCCATCTTCTTGTTGTGAAATGCCGAGAAATGAACATGCTGCCCTAAGAGTTGCCAAATATGCTTGTAGCCCTCATCAACTGTGCTCAAATACTTCCCAAAGACCCAGGACCACTCTCTGAATGCCTTGATCTCTTCTTCTTGTGGCTTATAGTCAAAGATATTGGGCTTTGCTGGCGTTGCTATCAGTTTTGACCAACCTGTTGTTGATGACTTCTTGTCTTCAACTGCTTTCTTCACTGCCTCAGCTGCTGATGTTGTTGCCAGCGTACCCCGTGCTATAGTTTGAAGGATCTCTCTGCTCTCCTGCATCTTCTCCTTGTACTAATGTCTTTTTGGCGCAATGTACTGGAAACAGAGTGTTGCTTACAACAATTACTCACCAGTCCAGCAGCTTGGGTTCCAAAGGCCCCAAATCTATGGCTCGAAATCGCACCCGGCATCCCAGTGACCCAGGGGCTTTTCACTCAGAGCTCCAGAGGGGTTACCTCCTTCTCAGCTCCGCTACCATACGCACTTTCCTGTCTGTCAAAAAGGGCTACGAGTCCGAGTATGTCACATGCATAGTTGGCAATGCCAATGATGCTGCACATCTAGGCTATGATCTACTTTTATAATGGTTCGCAAATATCAAATTTGACACTTTGTCCATTACAGGCATAGGATTGAAGCTTTCAAGCACCTCGCTTGGTCGTTCTGCCACTTAAGTTCAAACAATCTGCCCGTCTTTGCACAAGGCAAACTGCGCACCTTTGTATGAAGAAACTTTGTCTCTCATAAGCTCCGCAAATGCATCATTCAGCCCTGTAAGATGTCACGGTATTTCGCACACATGTGATGCACATCCCACTCATAGCCTGCCAATCTCACAGAAAAGGTTGCCATTTCATCAAGGCCCACTTCGTTTACCACGAGCCTGGCAGGACTGCTTGCAAGTGGAAGAGGTATGTACCTTGACCGGCTGGAGGGACAAATGCAGGATGAACAAAGCAGTCATTGAACCGACTCCTCACGCTGCTTAGTGGTTTTCTCAACATCCGCGTCTTGGACATGCAGTCGTGTGGAACCAAGCCACAAACCCATAACACTGCAATGATGATCCAAGCAAAAGCCGCCAGCACATCGATCAAGGAAACTTTGTCCATTTGCCCTGCAAACGAGCAAGTTGGAGAACAACGCTTGAACGGCTTGCTTTACGCGGGCGCACACGGAACTCCAAGCAAGTCAGCACGCCTGAGTGCACCAATGTTGCTTCGGTCCGCAAAATGCTCCGCTCTGCCGCAAAGGTCCTATACAGCAACTCAGGGAGGAGCACCTCCGGCGCAGGGGCTCATGTCTTCTTCCTTTGCTTCATTTTGTGTTCACTTATCATTAACTTGTCTTGTTTGGGATGCACGTTTCACCGCAATGGCCCAACAGCCACCCTGGCACCATGAATTCCAGCGCCAAGGAATTCAGGAACAGGTCACCCAAAGACTCCGATGCGAGCAGCCAGCGACAGCCCAAGTAATTCCTGAGTTTACTTCTCGGAGAGCGCCCGACAATTAGCCTGATGATGGGCCGCCCGGTGCAAAAAGGCCTATGCTTAGGCCTGCCGGCAAGCTGCAAAATCACAACCAGTAAGCAGCGAGGCAAGAAACCTGGAAGCGAGGCGGGACGGGACCGCTGTCTCCAGCACGATTCAAAACGGGTCAGATTCAGCGAATGCTTCGCCCGTCCAGATTGAGACATGAGGCCGTGACTTACTGCATTATCCTCCCTATTTAAGATATTTAATCTTGGTGTGTGAGGGATGTGGGCGTGGACGGGGATGCTTACAATTCAAAACACCAAAGTCTATGACAATGGTGCTTGCCTTTGCTAGAGAATAGTATTCGCGGTTGAGCGAGTGCGATTCTCTTTTCTGGTGTGCCGCTGCGTTCAATCTTGCCACAAACACCTGCCACAGGCCAAACCGACATCTTTGGAGCAAGCAGCAAAAAAAGAGCAAGCAGAACTTCATCGGCATGGTAAGCCCAACCTCATTGGGACAACCGACGCAGAAAAAGAAATAGAAAAAATAGTCTTGATTGACACGTCTGTGTCATTCCTCTTGACACATATCTAGACTCAAACAATTTGCTGAAATCTATGTCCATACATGTCCTATCATTTTCTGATTCCTTCAGTCCTGTTCTTGTTTGGTGGGGAAAGGTTATCCACTGACGGGGTATGTTTTTAGGTGGAATGTGTTCACCGGCTTACCCCTGAGCATGACAAGTTGCAATTTTGCAATTATCCTCGGTCCGCTCCATGCATTCCTCAAACCCGCGCAAGCGTCTGCACTTTTAATATTCAAGTTTAGCTGTTTCTAAGAGCAATGCTCTATTGGGTCCATTTTGGAGGGTGCGGTATAGGGTCGATTTATGGTACGGTCAGGTGCGGTACAGGGGGGCGGTGGTACGGTACAGGGGGGCGGTGTGGGGCAGTGGTACGGTACGGGTGGGAAGCAGCAGTACGGGTTATGGGGGCGGTGGTACAGTACGGGGTACGGTACAACGGTACAACGGTACGGTACGGAAGGCAGAGGCAGGGTACATGGTACAGAAACAGGTGACTGATGCCGTGCATGTGTATAGTCTAGTCAGTCTAGTGTATGTAGTCTAGTCGAGTCTAGTCTGTATAGTAGATGTTGCTGCGTAATCGGTGTCTCAGGAAAGGAACTCACAAACAAACCGACCAACTCGCAACAAGTCAAGCCGAGTCAAATCCAGTCCAGTCAAGTGTGACAACTCAACTCAGACAAATAAGAACTCAGCTGTCCGGCTGCCATGAACAACATTTTCACACACACACATTCACTTCGATCTTCTGACTGTCGCCATTCGGCCGCAGCCACATTCAAGTGCGTGACGTATGTCGTGTCACACTGTTGCACTGTCGCACTGTGCGTGACAGCGAAAAGAACAAAGCGGATGTTATCACCCGACTCGACTCCGATTCATCCATTGAGTCATTGCCGCATGAGCAGCACACAGTTCTTCATCATCCGATTCTGAATCAAATCTCACTGTGGTAAGTACGGCGAGAACCGCAGCACAAATGCAAGGCATAGAAAACCTGAACAGTGAACATTCAGCTGAGGCTGATGCTGAGTCTGCTGAGTCTGAACTTGGTGTTTGTTTGCTGTTGCTTTCAGTTTCCTTAAACTTCAACTGAAACAAACACAAGTCATGCATGTTTCTGAGACACACACGAATTTCCAGCCAAGTCTGCAATTTGTGAATCAGATTGATCTACTGCAAGAGGCAATTCAGAAAGGAAAAGGCCTTGAAGTGCTGCCATCTCCTAGAAACAATGACGAAACGAAACAAACACAGTCACCTGACCAACCAACCAACGATTGGAGCTCCTGACCCACCAACGGACGGTTCATCTCGACACACCACAGCTTCGAATGAGGCAGTATGGTTGGGACCACCTGCAATGGAACTGAAATGCAACAAATAGAAAATTAAATAGGATAGACTGCTGATAGAATTAGAACGGATTATATTTGACATGACATAGCCTATATAGCCTGTAGCCGCTACAGACTCTAGACTCTAGACTTAGACTCAGATCATAACATCGGTCAGCAAAAGGGAACAGGAAATGTCGAGTACCAAGGCCTGAGAACTCTTTGTGCTGCATGGCAAGCGGGATACGGTTTGCGAAATATCAGCGAAGAGGATGGTATCCTTGCCCTGTGACTTGTTACGGTCATTCCACAGCTCGACAAAGCAAAGAACCTAAACCAGGTGCAGTGCAGAAAAGTCCAAGTCGCTTTCCTGTTCGCCGTCCGTACATCATCTACCTATATTATCATATCGAATCAGAGTCATAGTTACATATCGTTTACAGTATTGCAATTTGACAATGCGTTTACTGCTTTGTCTCCATCCCAAATCATTCACAACAAAGCAACCTCTTGCTCTCGCTGGGGCAGAGTCATATACCACCGGGAAGATTCCAATTCAGGCGATGCCACAAGCGGCCAGCGAACCCCTAACTGCTCAGCCAATGCTGTATGTTGTTCCTTCCACTTGTCATTGGACATAGTAATGTTTCCTTTTTCGACTTTTTCCTCTAGCTTTCTCATTCGATTTGCTGTTTGATGTTCACGACGATTAAGTTCCCCTAGGAGCCGGTCGTCACCTTTGCTCAGCAAGAACTTGTCCTTAAATCGGACAAACAGTGGCTGCAAGTCACAATACAAGCATTCTATCATATCATATCAATCATATCATATCATCTCTGACTAGACTCTAGACTAAACTCTACAAGACAAAACCAAACCAAAACAATTAAGCAGTGAGTGCGCGACGATAGGAAAGAGTTCGCTCTTTGCGCTGTTCAAACGTGGCACCAGTGAGGAAATCATGACATAGGCACTTGAAGCAAAGTTACTTACTTGCCGCAAACCAATGATGTAGTATCGTGTGCGCCGCTGTGGTATTGAATAGTCTGATGTTTTCAATCGTTGCGCTACAGCCGCATAACCAAGGTCCCGAAGATATTGAACGACCATGGAAAGGTTGCTTTTTGTTTGCCTCGCGAGTCACAAAAGAAAAGAACATGAAGAAAGTAGTCTGAAATCTGAAAACAGTTGAACAATTGAAAGTTAAGTTGGTTAATCAAACTCAAAAATTGTTAGTTGCTAGTTACTAGTTAGTTGAGTCAAACTACTCACCACCGTCTGCATCTTCTCCAGATGGAGTGTCGATCGAATCCACATTCTCTAAAATGACTGCGTGTGGTTTGCAAATACTCAGCACATCACAAACTCCTTTGAAGGTGTTTGCCGACGTACAGTCCTGAAGGCACAAACAACATCCAGTCCTGAAGGCACAAATAATTAATTGACCAAAAATAGTTATACTAAGACTCGACTTGAGACTCTATGGCTGATTTGAAGCTGGTGAAATCAGAATTCATACGCGAAAAGTTCCTCAGAAGGGACAGCCAGTGACGCAGTGATCTGATTTTGATTTGATTATTTGATAAACTGAATTAAACTTGCAACTTGAAACTTGAAATCAAATCCAAAACACTTGCAGGAAAATCCAGCTGTGAACAGAGTCATCTCATTCCCAAGATCTTCATCACACTTGGGGAGTGCCTGGTCCAGTTCCGGGTCAAGTGCAATTGCTGCAATTGTCCAAGTCATTGTTTGACTGTTTGACTAACAGACTTCACTTTGCAGAACTGGGGCCCGCACACAGTTGGCTGCATGGGTTACACATCGTCTTTGGCCATGGTCAGCCAGCTTGGTGATGTCTGCAAACAAACATGTGGTGTCCGCTTCCTGGTTACAAACAAGTCCAAGAGTTACAAGCGCCAATGAGCAGTCACAATGAGCACAAAGTCTGACACTGAATTGTCGCTACTTACATGAATGTGAACACGAACCACTTCATGTCCTCTGGAGGAATCATATGCCGCTGCATGAACTGCTGCTTGAACGTAGTGAGTTCGCACAGAAAGCGGGTGCTCACCTCCACGTCAATCCAACATCAACATTTCACTCAGTGCTTAATTACATATGATCAATGAATAATCCTGAATCAGAATCATGAATTTGATTTGATTGACAACTCTGGACTCAGACTCTGGACAGTCAGTAATATAATATAATATATAATCCGGCCTGAATAGCTTCTTTGTCCGGCAAACGGTATCGCTTGTTGAACTCTGCAACAATGTGATAGGTAACCATTTCAAACATACCAGTACCACTACATGCGCTCATGAGCCAAAGACTGTTTGGCAAAGCTTGCACTATGTCCGCAATACAATCCCGTCCAACGGTCTTCTCCATGCAGTCAAGTTGGTCCTGCTCAAAAGTTGCACAACACATCAGGTACGGTATGTCACAGCACTCTCTAAAGTAGTTACAGTTAAAGTTAAAGTCGTAAACAAGTCTACCGATTCTCGTTGTGATCAGATGGTGACCGCACCGATAATTTGATAATCACTTTCAACTTTGAATTCAACCCAACCACAAGGAGATAACAACAACGCAACTCACAACTCACAACAGTCCTCAACCAAACAAGACACAAACGTATCTGCTTGACGGTCAGCAGCATGCGATGATGATGGTCCATCAGCAGCAGTAGTATCATCCCTCTTTGTTCTAGATGAAGCCGTTGATGACTGCGGGGCTGGAACTTGAGACAGCTCCGGTTCCGGTACAGGTTCCAGTGACTGACGAGACTTGTCAATGTCAATGTGATCATGGCACATTGTTGGCGGTGCCGTTGGTGAAGGATGAGGAGAACCTTGATTGTGAATCGAAACATTTGGCTTGGCCTCATGTGCCACTGCCTGTGATGGCAATGTCTGAGCCTGATCAGGCGTTGGCAATGGCAGCGCAACCAACACTGACGATGTTTGCTCATGCTCAGGCACTGACGATGTCTGTTCAGGCTCAGGCACTGGTGGTGTCTGCTCAGACATGGACATGGACTGATTCATTTCCGTTGATGCCGATGCTGATTCTGACATTTCTGGAGCTGGAGCTTGTGGTGCCTTTGCTTCACTATGCACTGGTCCAGGTAGTGTTGGAGCCAGAGGAGGTTCTGTCATAGTTGCCTGAGTCAAATCCATTGGCGCTGGTGTCGGTTCAAGATGAGTCGGTTCAAGTCCAAGTTCTGGCAGCACATGCGAGTCAGAGTCAATCTGGGTCTCAGCGGTGCCATTTTGCAATGCCTCATCAAGTGCGTTCACATACATAACCTCCTCCCCCTCCGACAATGGAATGGATACCACTTGTGAAGCTTGTGAATCAACTTGTGAGTCCAGCCCAGGCTCAGCTTGAGTTTGAGTCGGTTGAACTGACTGTGCCGCTGGTTGAGCCGGTCGAGTGGCATTGTCATCTGATGGCGTTTGAGCCGGTTGAACTGGCTGAGCCACTGAAATGCTTGGTTCAGGTTCAGGTGGTTGAGCCGCTCGAGTGGCAGTCGCAGTGTCATCTGGACTTGCCTGAGACTGTGCACGAGTACGAGCAGCAAAGTCTTGCCAGAATCGCACTCCAGCAGGGTCACGGTCTGAAGCTGCTGGCTGATCATTTGCATTCTCACCACCGCCAGAATCAGTCTGCTCCTGGCCCTGGCCCTGGCCAGTAAAGTTGTTCCAGAATCGCACTGCAGCAGGGTTGACCTCTGTTGGTAGGGATTCATCAAGATTATTCCGCTTTCTGCTGCTTTGCGGCTTGGGCGCAGGCTGAGGCTTGCACACAGCCTGCGCTTTGGCCTTGGCCTTTCCCGCGGCGCTGATTGATCTTGGCTTTGGTGAAGCTTTCACTTTTGGCTTCGGCTTGGGCTTGGGAGATGGAGGGCTTGTTCTCTTTTTCGGAGCCATCAGCTTCTAACTACCTTGTCGCGCCTGTGACTAATCTAACCACACTTGCCCGCTGACAAGTGAAGCCGAAATTTTGAAATTCAAAGTTCAAAAAGCTGTGAACGAGTGAACGGTGAACAGTTACAAATATATATATATATATTTAACTTATAACTTATAAGTTATAAGCTTTCATATGCTGATCAGTGAGCAGTGAGCGCTTACTTACCTTTCAAGTTCCAGTCACTGTCAGTCCAGCAATTGAAGAGTGTCCGCATGTTTTGCTTCCACTGCTGTTTGCACCGACTTGTTTCTCATTAGTCTTGTCTTGCACTGCATACCGCCTTGTGAGTGTGGTAACTAGTTTTCGTGCTTGCAATTGCTGCCAACCACTGCTGCTGCCTAGCCTACATCCCACAGCACCAAGAACTAGAACGCTAGGAGCATAGCTGACAGTGGGACTTGGACTGGAATCACAATTGAAACTCAGATCATAGCCCAGCCCAGCTGTACAATGCAAGTCACGTCGCTACAATCCACACCGGAAATTTGCGAATTGTTGACTCAAGGAATTCTTGCTCTGAAGCAATTTGAGTCACTAAGTTGAATTCACCATGTCACATGTCACAAAGATGAAAGGTTTCACGAATTGAAGCTACCCAAGTCTGTCACATAGTCCTGTGGCCTAAGCAACGGTGTCTGCTCCTCCAGATCCAAGTGCAAGAAGTTTGGTACAGGACGCTTGCAAAACTGGATTGATTTCCAGCCCATTGTCGCTCGCAATCTTCAAAGACTCTTTCACCGTACTTGTTGCCTTGTTCGTCAGCTTGGTATTGCTTTTGATGGACTTTGCGACAGATTTGGAGCACGTGCACCCCAGAAGGCTTCCAGTAGTCCTAAGGTACAAAGCAAATGAAATTGAATTGATTCAATTTTGACTGGATTGGATTTGACTATATTCACCTGGACCAAGCCCATGTCAACAAAGCATACCATACCCACACCCACTAGGAGCCCCACATCCAGGAGAGGCATTGGCGCCACAGAGACTCAATTGCAGCGAAGTTGTCCATCAAATCGTTTGGTGCCTTGTTCAAACTCATGGCAATGTTTTTCACACTTCCAATGATCTTCTCCAGCTCCACAGTGACATCCAACATCTGCTTTGTTGCATCAGCAGTGAAAGTGGAGGAAACCAATGCTGCGACTTGATCAACATGTTGAAGATCCTCTACGTTGAACAGGTCATCCGAGATGGTCAAGTCAGGCACCTTGATGTCATCGAAACCGTGCTTCAGGCTGTCGATCACTTCGGCAATGTAGTCGTCTGAACGAGCCTTCAACTTACGCAAAGTCGTTGAGGCCTCTTTTGCAAATTTGTGCAAGTCAATGCCATCCAGCAACTCTGACGAAGCCAAAGTTGTTGTAGTAGCAGTCATATTCTCCAAGTGAGACTCAAAGTTGTCATGTTCAATCACATCTTTCAACAAAGCTAGAACAGCCAACTCGTCTCCGTCTTCACCATAGACACCGTCTGCCTCAACACATTGAAGGCAATATGTGTTTTTGATCATAACTTCAAGAATCTTGAGGCCTGATCGGATTCTATTGCCATTCTCTCCCAATACACTGGACATGCGCATGCTTTCGTCCATGTTCTTGGTGAACTCATCCACGTCAGATTGCTCTAGCGGGACCTCTGAGACAACTTTGTCAATGATGTGCTTGATGCACTTGACAAGATATGCCATTGCCTGTGTGTTGACCTGACTGCTGAACGTAGCCTTCACACACGCAGTGACACCGGATAGTGCATCAATGATGTCGCACATTGATGGAATGAGGCCTGATTCTTGCTGAACTTCGGACGCAAAAGAATTCTGAAGAAAGAGAATGAACTCCTTGTTCAATGCTGTCCATTCTTCCACACATGACTGTGCTTCAGCAGGAGGCATGGTATCACCTTGACAAAGAGTGGTTGCCTTGCGTACAAACTCTACCAACTTCTCTAGGTCCTTCATCAGGATCTTGATGTGCTTGCTTGTTGGCTCCATTCTCACCATGCAAGTATCCGACGTAACCACCTTCTTGTCGAACACCGTCTTGTTCTGCATTGATGTGGCAAAGGCATCCAGGTACTCTTTGAGGTCGTAATTGAGGAATGCTCGAAGAACAACCCATGTAGCTTTCTCCATGTACTCCATGAGCTTGTTGAGTGCCGAGCGATCACCCGCTGCCCTCAAAGCTTTGCTCTTTGGATCACAATATAGCTTCCAGGTGTTCATCATCCTCGAACAAAGGAAACTGACGACATGTCACATGACAGCTGACAAAGACCAATCAATCAGAAAAATAAAAATATTATTTACGATAAATTACACCGAAGAATCATCTCTCCATAGGCTGCATCCAACGCCTTCAGATCAACGCTGTCATAGTCCAGAAATGTTTTCTCTTCAAGAAGATCCAACTGTTGTGCAATTCGGTCCAAGATTTCTCCATGGTCTTTCCTCTTCTCAGCATGCTGCGTGGCTACTTGAATAAGTTTCTTTCCAAAATCCAAGCCAGTCATGGCCTCTGCAAGCCAATGTGATGAACCTCTCAATGTCTCACAAGCCCTGAGAACGTGCGTTGGAGCAGATGATTCATCCATCAAACAAGTCACCACACCGACAATGGTTTTGGTGTCATGCCCACGCTCATCCTGATCGTCAATGTCGTTGGTAGTGATAAACTGGGACAGGCTCTTCATGAAACTCTCAAAATAAGTTGGATCTTTGGTGACATTTTTGCCGCCACCTTTGAGCAGTCGTTGGGTAAGCTGGCTGGTCAGTAGCATGAAGAAGCTTGGGCCATGCTCTCCCAGGTGTTGATTGCAAAGATCAAATGTTGAACCAAAGAACTTCTCCCAATTCGCAGTCTTCAAGTCCTTCAAGGCAAAACTATTGACTTGACAAATAATTATCACCAGTTAGAGGGAGGCATATTGAAACAAAGTTAATTATTGAAATAAGTTATTATTGAATTTATATTTGTTCGATTCAAGAATCAGAATCGCGGAATCGAATCACTCGAAATTGAGCATTACCCAGCCTCAAATGCAATTCCTCGCAAACATCGTTCCCAAATGGCAGGTGAAACCTCTTCGTGTTCTCGAGCTTCTTCACGTTGTATGTCCATGATGGTTTCATAGCACGAACACCCTTCTGTGACACCAGTTTGCAGCTTCTTCAAGAAGGTCAGGAAATATGTGATGTACTCCAAGATTGAGTCAAGTTCCTCAGTGATGTTGATAGAATCACCATCATGAACCTTCTCCTTTCGTCGTTTCAAGCTTTTCTTCTTCGCTTGAATCCCCGAACGTAGCTCTCCCAAAGCTGAAGTCCTTTTCTTCACCCATGGTCCAAACCCAGCGTCATCAGATGATGTAGCATCCAACTGTGTGAGATCTTTCAGTTGTTTCGTGTAGTTTGCCAAGATCTTGTGGTCCTCACTCATGTCTGACAGATCAGCAATCTCCTCCACTTGAGGTTTTGGTGGTGGAATTGCATCACCATCTTCCAACTTCCTTTTTGGTCTTGGCTTGGGCTTCGCGGTAGCTTCAGGAATACCAGGAGTAGGAGCCGGCTGAGGCTGAGGCTTCTGGTTCTTGCTTTTGGCCACAGGTGTAGTCTTGGCCCTCTTGGGTGCTCCCTGTGTACTTGCAGCTGGGCGCCTCTTCTCAGGCTTGGCCATCCTTTGAAACAAAGAGGAAAATGGCTGTGTCATCAAGGCATCAATCCAATCCTCCTCCTCCTCCTCCTCAGCAGCAACTTCTTCAACATGTTGGGCCTCACCATCAGGGCCAGTTGGTGTATCATGATAGCGCTCAGCCTGTCCACTTGGCCTCATTCTGATGGCTGCCGCAGCATCCGCTTGAAACGCTGATGATTTCAATTGCTTCAATGCAGACTGATGTATCGAATCGTTCGTTGTGTCACTCAGTTGCAGCTCGGAGCAATTCAGTTGATTGGATCTGTCCACCTCATGGATTGTGTCATTGATGTACTCGTAGATTCCACGGTCCTGTTCACACTGTTGGGTAACTATTCAACAGTCAAGTTGAAGTCGAAGTCGAAGTGTACAACTATTCAACAGTCAAGTAGATCCAAATAACTTTCAAATAACATAATTAGTCTACTCAGTCTACTCAGGACTCTTGACACCAGTGTAACATGATGTAACAAATTTCAGTCACTCAGTCCTTCTCTTCAATCACGTCCACTCCCAATGTTTGCGTGCCATCGATCATTAGCGTCTTCACCTTTTCTGGAGCAGGCGCCCCATATATCTCTTCATACACCGCAAGCTCAACAAACTTCACCTTTGGTCCACGAAGACCTGTTTGTTTCTTTTCGTGTATCACCACTTCCTCCTTGGCCAGCGGGTTCTTTGTGATGCGTGCTCCTGGGTTCTCCTGCTTGTAGGCAACCAATACACCCCTCTCTGACAAGAACTTGTGGTTTTCCGTTGGTTCACTGTCAAGCTTCTTGTCCAGCTGCGTCATGTTCAGATCGTGCAAATGGCCACCCAGTTCAGCAGTCTGCGGGTTGGCAGGTCATGTCTTGACTTGATTGAATCTGATATTGAATCATATATGAATATATATTACACGTACCATACACCGCCATACTATAGCCCTAGTATAGTGCACCCCTGTACCACACCCCCGTACCATACCCGCACCGTACCGCACCGTACCCCTGTACCGTACCCCCGTACCGTACCCCTGTACCGTACCCCCGTACCGTACCCCCGTACCGTACCCCCGTACCATACCCCCTGTACCGTACTCTAGGTACCAAGATCTGTCAGTGGATACCAAGATCTGTCAGTCCCATACGGGGGTACGGTACAGGGGTACGGTGCGGGTATGGTACAGGGGTGCACTATAGTAGGGCTATGCAGTACAGTGGTGTACAATACAGTACGTTCTTGCAAAGCAAATCAGTTTGACCTTAGTCTGACCGTCTGACCGTTTGATCAGTTTCCAAACACCCCGCCTTGCGGCAACATAGACAATGACAACCTTTCGGCTGCTTCAATGATCCAGCTTCCCATGCTATCAATGGAGCCCACGCAAACTCCCATCCTTTGGATTGGTCCCACTCCATTGGCTCTGTTGACCATCTCCCACAACGTCGACACCGCTTTGGCTTGTAGTCATCACCAAGAGATATCTCTGGCGGTGGTGCTGGAGGCTCTTGAAAGCCAGGCAAACTGAGAGTACTCCTCCCACTCACAGATCGAGGCATTGATAAGCACTATGGTTGTGTGCGGTGACGGAAAGAGTAAGAAAGTTGTTTTGAGCCCTCACTCTTGCCTGAAACAAAAGAAAGTTTCGGTTCAGTAACACAGTGACGAAGACCTCCGTCATATCCATTCAAGTCAAATGAAGCTTCAAATTGCAAAACCTCACAAGACATGATAGCGACGCGAGCTTTTTCTCTACCCTGAAGCACTGGATCAAGTGCGGATGCCAATGAAGGAATTCAACCTGATTCCAAAAGGAATGTTGAAAGATGGATGGCACTATTGACGTTAGTGCAAAGTAACCGTGGAGGCGGTAGGAGTAGGGGCATAAGGAGTAGTAGTAGTAGTAGCAGTAGTAGTAGTAGTTCTTGTTGTCGCAGTAGTAGCAGTGGTCATAGTAGTGGTAGTAGAAGTAGAAGTAGTAGTAGTAGTAGTAGTCGTAGTCGTGGTGGTGGTAAAAATAATAGTAGTTGTTGTTGTAGTTAGTCAGTCAGTTAGTCAGCTTTGTCATTCAGAACTTGTATGCAGAAAGTCTGTAGTCAGTAGTGAGTAGTAATGGTAGTGGTGGTGGCAGAAGTGATGGTGGGAAGTCAGTGATTCATGTCACATAAACTGTGCATTTTGTTGCATTACACAAATCAGATAAAAGACTGACGCTCGTCAAGTCACATACCCTTATGTTGAGTCGACCCAGTATCACGACTTGTAATTCGCCGCCCAGCATGCAGCCAAGACAAAATGAACTGCTCACTGTCTGGGAGAAGTTTCTTGGCTGCTATCATGGCTGTACATCCCTTATGCATTCCTGAGTGAACCAAAGTTCAGTACAACAAAATAAATGATTGAATTGAATCAAAATATATTTGGTCAGCTCAACTCAATCATATGTTGCAGTTGCAGTCATAACCTTTTAGAGTTCGTGATCTATATATATATAATATAGTCACGGCATTAAACCTAACTCACAAAACACAACCACGCCAAAGTGACCACATCGAATAGACACACTGTGGCTCGGTGTTCCTGGTCGAACTTCCGTTATTCGGCCTGAGACATAAACAATAGACGGCGGCTGCCAGCGCTACCACTGCTGTTACAATGACAGTACTAATCTATCACTAAGGATATGGCCCAAATGGTATGGCTTCTTTGTTTCTTCGTTGTAGACCCAACAGTAGCCTTTGTCATCTTTCCATGGTTCGGTGTAGCTTACAATAGGAATACTTGAAGACGACGACGACGGAGTTGGCTTCGATGCCTTTCGTGCTGGTTCATCCTTCTTGAGTGGACCAGATTGAATGGCAATCGCGTTACCCCAATGCATCATGATTTCATCGTGAACCTCACCTGCAACTCCGTCAGACTCACCTGACTTCTGCACATCATGTCTCTGCTGTTTGAGTTGATCATCATCAGCAGCAGCATGAACATCAGGTTCATGTTCAGTCAAAGTCCTTTTCCTGCCACGGCTGCCACGACTACGACCACTTCCGCGGCTTTGCCCCTGTCCTCTACTTCTACCTCTACCTCGACCTCTATTGCCAGAAGTAGCAATCCCAGCTGCGCGTTTGAGAAGGTTCAGCCTGTCTACCAAAGCCTGATCATGACAACTACTTGACTCATCGTCATCACCAGCATCACCGCCAATTGCACTTGTAGGCAGTTGAACAGTATCATGTTGAATTCTGATTCCATTTAACGACACAGCTTTGTATCTGGCGATGCGAATCGACACAGTCTCCCTACAACGTTCCTGAGCAAACTTGTACATAAGACATGGCAATGTCCTGAAGATAGGAAACCCATCAGGAGTGCGGCAAACATGGGCTGTATCAGCAGACGTCCATTTGAATTCAATGGCTGTACCATCAAAGGGTGAGAATGACACCCTTGCAAGAACATGAATCTCGAGCTGTTCAAGTGTTCCATCATCTTGGTCTTTGACGAGCAACAAAAGCAAGTGATCAGGTTGAAAACCTTTCTCACGACGGATTGAACGCGCCCAACGCAATGCATCTTTGGCGTGATTCAACAACTTGTTGTAAGTGTGAAGAACCTCAGGAGTTGCAGTAGGTGTTTTCAACATTGCCTGACACAATCCAGGCCCCAACATGGTTCCACAATTTACAGACTCTTGTTCAGCCAAATCATCTTCAGGTCCATCGTGTTCAATCATTCGTTGTTCTGATTTGAACGCTTCGTCATTGGCACACATCCAATTCCCTGGTCCTTTGTCATGGCTATTTCTTGCTTCATCCAATTCAGCAACTGAGATTGCATAGCGTTCATCCCCAGAATTGTTGAGGGAAACACGCACAACAGGCGGCGCAACATGAGGAGCAATGTTTCCACCATCACTATTGCTATCAAATTCAGCAATATTGCCATCGTGTGATGCTGCCCGTCTTGTTTTGTTGTGCAGTACTGCTGCTTGTGAACTCTCCTGGAATGTCACAGTGCTACCTCTGCATGAAAACGATACAACAACACTAACCTAACGAGTGCGCAGTACACATAGCATTCAAATTCAGACTGTTTCCGTTTGAGAGTCCTCACGAAGACTCTGGCGATTCCTCCACTCCTCAGTAGCTTGATTCCACACACGCCTCCTGGCTTGTTCTTGAGTTTCACCTGGAAGAACAACCTCAGCCCCATAGAGTCTTCTCAACAATTTGGCTCTGTCTCTGACGCAAAAGTGATTTGAGGTGGAAACTCGGTTCTCCATGGCATTCTTGATGTGCAAGGTATACCCGTTGTATGATGAAGAAGTGCCTTCATCATGTTGGTTGTTAGTTCATTACATTACGGACAAACGTGAGTCAGCATGGTATGACAAACGCTAAAGTTTTGACAAACTTAACTTAATGATAGGCTTTGGCAGCGCTAAACGGTCGAGCCTTGCGTGTCTTGAGTGTCCACGGTATCTTCACTGATAAAGGCTTGGACACGTTGGATTTGGTGTTCCTTCTGTATCTCGCTCAAGACAAACTTTGCAACCTGAAGAAATGATGATGCATTGAGTGGGGTGGTGATTTGAAATTGAGGACGCCACCACTCCGTTGTGAAGTGAGTGAGAGCGCCCCCGGCAAATCCTGATGAAATGAACAACCGGCACCAGTTCAGAAGTCAGGGTGTGCTGAGGTTTTGGCAATCGCTGCGATGCAGCGCGAGCAAAGTTGCATTCTACTTCTGAATTCGAAAGCTTTCTCATTTGAGAAATCTTGACCTTACCAACATGACCCTGGCATTGACTTGGAATGCTCACAGTGATGCTGTCACTTTTCCTAAACCCTGAGATCACAGCCACATCATAAAGACTGCCACCAGGCAGAAGCTCAGTCGCTGCAAGGTTGTGGTCCTGAAAATAACAGTTGTTGAGGAAAATAACACAGCTGGATTAAAAAAACAATACATACAGTCATACAGTACAGTGTGATAGTCTTGCCACTGTCAACGTCCAATCTTTGTCCTGCATGAATGCACGTAATCTTCCACTGAATGACTTATCCATACAGCACAATGAAGTTGAAGTGAACTGCTGGGCTATACCCAAGCGGTCTTGATCTGATAGGCCTTCCTCCAGCAAGGTGGCCAAACGGTGTGGCCAAACCTGTGCCAGGCTCAAGTCAAGTGTTCGAGACCTAGATCTAGGTCCAATTACCTGATGATGTACATTTTAGTTGGTTAAGACTTTAAGTTGAATCCTTTCCGGAACTTGAACTCATCACCCACGCAAACAGCATATGTTTGTATGCAGCATGCAGTCATGTTCTGCCTTGAACGGAATAACAAGTCTATGCCATGTGTGGCCAACAATGCTGAGCCAGGTAAACTGAGCCAAGTGAAGAGCATCATCGTCAAAGCCTTCCGTCGCTGAAATGGCCACATAAAACAACCGTTGAAAGTTGAAAGAGACAAAGAATCGCTGATGGCAATGAGTCTTATGTGCTGAGTTAGTTTGAGTCATGGCCAGTCCACTTACAGTCTCCAGGTACCTGCCTTGAAAAATACCGGGTAAAGGGTTGAATGCAATGTCCATGTATTCATGGATTGCCTGGTGCGCTGGCGACCTGAATGCTTGTCTCCATAAACTGAGCTGAACTAACATGAAAAAAACAGCTCACCTTGCGGATGCAAACTTGACTGCCGGTAGGTTCTCCGATTCCTCTGCCAACCACAGCCGATCACGTTGGTCTTTGAAAAGGTGATGCCTCAGACTGGTACTCATGATTTCACGATTGCTTACAACAGCTC